CGACAAAAGAGAAACAATAAATGAGAAGGTGATTTCGAGTTAGTTTAGAAGGAAGAAGTCTCCTATTTATAATTTTCCATTAGAATAACGGTAAAAATAATAATTTTTTAAAATAAAAAATTATCCGATTTTTTATTTATTGGTTCCATTACCATTACCATATAATTTTGTACACTATCTTGTATAAGGCCAGCACCGGCAAAAGTCCACATTATATATATATATATTTTTTTTTATAAAAGATCATTTATTCATAAAATTGATTTTAAAAAATATTTATTTTAAAAATTAAATATTTTTTGGGAGAATATTTATTTTATGAAATTGAGCCAAGTTTTATTGAAATTTTATTAAATTAATCTATAAAATTATTCAAATTTTATTAAAATCATAATAGATAATTTAAAATTAGTAAAGGTTTATGAATGTAACTATTATTAAGTTAATATAGGTTTATGTTATAATTTTGGTGGGATTAATTTTTGTAACCTTATATAATATTATATATATTTTAATTAAAAAAAATGAGTGTATAACCTAAATTAGTATATTTATAAAAAAAAAAAAATTAAAATTAATTTTGCATTTCAAAATTTCCACTCAAAAATGATATTTTAGTAATCACACCCATTATATTTTTGTTTAGGGGTTAGGGCCTTCACTCGTCTACACTTTGATATTTTAGTAATCACACCCATTATATTTTTGTTTAGGGGTTAGGGCCTTCACTCGTCTACACTTTTCTCTAGATTCGGTCTTACCAGGTTAGTAATACATACGATAACTCTGTAATTTTGGTTTCTGATTTTGATTGATACTATGGTTGGTAATCACTAATACGAGAACTCTGTAATTTTGGTTTCTGATTTGATTGATACCATTTGAGGGTGTTTTTAAGCTTTGAAATCGGTTGCAATGTTCGTTTTAATTGCATGATTTTATCTGTGATATTGGCGCCCTGTAATTAAAGCATCTCTGTTTCGGTCTTTTCCTAAAACAGTGACTACTTATGATATAGAACTGATTTAGAAAATGTGAGTTCAAAAGGGTGAATTCTATAAGAAAATTGATGCTAAGGAAGATCGAAATTTCTGATGAAATTTGGCCCTGGTTTCAATTGGGAAATCCAAAGATAGTTTTCCTACTCCTTTTTATATCACACATTTGCTTTTGAAGGTTAAGGTTAAGGATTGGATCACAGTTGCTAATTCTTTGACTTGTTTTCAAACAGGAACTTTAGAACTCCTTTTCCCAGAAGAACTCTCGTCTCACCAAGATGGGTAGGTTAGATACAGATTTTCATTTTGTTTTATTTGTGACTTTTTCTTCTTTTTCGTTAATCTTGGAGAACTTTGTGTATAGGTATTTCTCGTGATTCTATGCACGAGAGGCGTGCCATTGGAGGAAAGAAGAAGGCTTGGAGTAACTATCTCTCTGCTCATATTAAGACGACTGCAATTTTATTCCTTGTTTTGCTTCCATTTTCCCAAATTAGTTGCTAGCAGATTTATCATATTATTGAGGATGGTTGGGAGGAAGTCCCATGTTGACTAATTTAGGGAATGATCCTGAGTAATTCGATACTGAGTTTATAAGTAAGGAATACATCTCTATTGGTACGAGGCTTCTTTGGAAACTAAAAAAAAATCACGAGAGCTTCACTTTTCTCTCAAATCAATCAAGATGCAACTTTAGTTTTCTGTGTGTTTGTAAATCCATACTGATATTGTTTCTTTCGGCACCTTTGTTTGTAAAGGTATGAGCTCGGAAGGCAACCTGCCAACACTAAGTTGTCCAGTGACAAGTCGATTTGAAGGATCAGAGTTCGTGGTGGTAATGTGAAGTTGCGTGGAGCTCGATACTGGAAACTACTCTTGGGGTAGTGAGGCTGTGACGAGAAAGACCCGTATTCTCGATGTGGTGTACAACGCATCTAACAACGAGCTTGTTCGTACTCAAACCTTGGTGAAATTGTTCAGGTTGATGCAGCACCATTCAAACAGTGGTACCTTCAGCATCTAACAACGACCTCAGCAGCTGCTAAGAAGGCCAAGGTAGAACCAACTTCGGTAGTTCGAGTGATTTGAGCACCTGTTTTTTATGGGAATGATATACATGATCCTTAAACACAACTTGTTTTGTATGATCGGTAGGAAGGTGATGCTCCGAGCGAGGAGGCGACGAAGAGCAACCATGTCCAGCGAAAGCTAGAGAAACGTCAGCAGGATCGTAAGCTTGAGCCTCATATTGAAGAACAATTCAGCGGTGGTTGTTTGATGGCCTGTATCTCATCAAGACCGGGTCAATGCGGTCGAGGCGATGGGTAAGCAGTTGAAATGCCTTGTGATCTTGCTTGTCTTTGATGTATTCTTGTCGCAACATGTTTGAGCGCGATCATTGAAGCGTTTTTGGTGAGTCTTGCTGAGTTTTAGCCTATTTGTGACAGATACGTCTTGGATTGAAGAGGGCAAAGAGCTCGAGTTCCACATGAAGAAACTTCAAAGGAAGAAGGGAAAAGGAGCTGGTGCTGCTTAAGTCAGTGTATCATTGAGATGTTTTCTCCCATTTCAGTAGCCATTTCTTCGTTTGAAGACGATTAGATGTTGCAGCAAAGATGAAAGAGTAGCTCAGGAGCTTTAACTGATATTAGTTTGTTCAATATTGGAACAGCTCAGATCCATCGCTAGCAGATTTGTAAATGGTGGTTTGTTCTCAACCAACCAAAATGTGAACGTCACAAATATAAACTTTAAACTTTTTGCTCAATTTTAATCTTAGTTTAAGGTCAATTAGATCACAGATAAAATTACCCTTTTGCCCTTGAATCTAGTTTTAATTATAATGTTTATAGGTAATTTGAAACTTTATTTAATTATTTTTTAGGTTAAATTAGAAGCCATAGCCATAGATAATATTGAGACATAATTAAACATTTGGAAAGTTATTAAATATAAAATTGTGAAGTGTTAATTGTAAGTGTATTTAACAAAATAATAATTCCCTAAAAGTGAAAGGGTACTTTTGTAGTTTACAAGAGATTCGGGGGGTTTTCGGCAAAAGTGCCTATAGCCTCTCTCTCCTCTCTTTTGCGATGTTCCGTCTTTGTATAAGGGGCTAGGGTTTTTCTCTCTTCCTCTCTCCCTCTCTCCCTCATTTGGATCGTCTCTCTTGCTCGCAGGTTCCTGATCACTTCGGTATGTAACTTTCTATGCTCTGATAATCTTTTCATTTCTCCGGCTGAATCGTTATCTGTTTTTTTTTTTTTTTTTTT